GTAACAACTCGCCGCTCACGGCGAGGCGGCGTGCTGCTGCGGCTGCTGCCCGAGCGGGGGAGGGTACTGCGCGGGCTGCAGCATGCTCGCCGCCTGCTGCTGCGCCGCCGCCGCCATGAACATCAGCTGCTGCTGGTGGGGCTGGGGCGGGGCGGGCTGCTGCAGCTGCTGCTGCTGGGAGGAGGCATGGGACAGCATGGCGCCCCCCGGGTTCCTGAAGCCTGTCCCCCTCGGCGCCAAGCCCAGAGGTCCTGAAGAGTGGACGGCGAAAGGGTTTGGTTGGAGGTGCACTGCCCAAACCAGCAAAGTACGCCAGACGGGCGGAGGCTGTGAGGGGACCTCGCGCCTGGGCCCCGGTTCGAGCATCCCCTGCGCGCCCCGCGCTCGAAACAACCCCTCTGCAGCTGGTCCAGGCAGCAGGCAGGCGCAGCACACCTGGCACATGGGCGCCCCGGAGGTGCTGCTGCGTGCCGGGCCCCGGCGCCGCAGCCGCCTGAGCGGACACCGCCGCCGCCAGCACGTTGTTGGCCACCAGCTCCCGGTGCTTGCGCGCCGCCTTGTCGCCCACCACTCGCGCCACCATCTGCGCCGGCGGGTGGGGGTGTGGTGAGCGGAGGAACAGTGCAGGGGCAAGTCGGAGGGATGCCCCAGGTCCTGGTTGCCATGCCGTGGCAGGGAGCCACCGAGGCCCGAGAAGCAGCCCTGGATGCGAACCCTGGATTCCCCAGCAGCTCCTGCACAGCGGCAGCGCACTCCAGGCATCACCCCGCCACACCCAGGACCACCTGCAGGGTCTCCCGGAACTCGGTGAGCACCAGCCGCTCTTGGGCGGCATACAGCTCTTCCTCCGCAGCGCCGGCGGCAGCTGCCGCCGGCGCCGCGGGGGAGGGGGGCTCGTGCTCATCCACCTGCGTGGTCAGGAACTCCATGTACGAGGGCTGACTGGCCGCCGCCCCGGGGCTGGGGCTCTCGGTCCCGGCCGGCGCGGCGCCGGGCTCCTGCATGTCCACGTCGCCTGTG